TGTATGTTGGCTCCCTTAACTTCTGCCCCGAAAGGAAATGATTTAGCCCAGTATCTGAGTAACATTTTTAAACTCATAAAATATCTTTTTCATAAGATAGAAAGTACGATGCTGGATTTAAGAGTGTAGCAAAGAAAAAGCAGCTTTCCTATTTCCTTTGTATATAGAACCGAACCCTTGTTTGTGGGAAGTCTCAAGTAAATAATTAATCAGTTGAACATAATGAAAATTTCACTCTAGAACTGACACGAGGACGCAGTCGACAGAAGGGATACATCAAATGTCCCACACCTTTGCTGTAGACCTAAAGAATATTCCAAACCAAATATTCTAAAAAATATCCCATACCAACATTCTTCCTGGAAAGCACTCATTTAATTCATTCGAAAAGTAGCCTGACATAGGCGAGGCACCGCATGTATCTTCCAGATCCTCTGTCAGGTTTCAACAATCCATTACGTGGGTTGAATCTAACAAGGCAAAAGTTTCAGACACCTTTCTGATATACAATTATTTTATCCTGCAGTTTTTCCTTAAAGAAGTAGCGGCTGAACTGGGAGCAGAGAATTTAATTTCTCAAGTTTTTTTTTCTTGAGCTGTGGTTTTTATTGGATGAAAGGCAGCTGTGATTGTACTAAATAGGTTTTTTAAAAAGCTCTTTTCTGAGTACCCTTCTCATAGCAGCCATGCTATTACTTTCATACAATTTTAGAGCAATGCTTAGATTATAAGAGCCTTTGGACACCTGTGCATTATAAGTGTAGCACATTGTTATTTGTGACACCCCTCAAATGCCAATTTACTAGACTGCAGATTGGTCCCTGGGCTCAATAACAAGTCCATCTCCAGTGGCTAGGCTATACTTTTCTCCCCTCCACCATTCATTTTGTGCAGTAGATTCTATGAAGTCATTATTATGTAATGGTTTCTACTAATCAGAAATTAGTATTTTGATACTTGAGTAAATATACACTGTACACTTGTGTATCCAGTTGTCACAATAATTATACTAATTATTATCATGTCTATTTGGGCAGCACTTTATAAATTTCATATACACAGATGTGTGCTTGTATTTGCTGAATCCCCTCAAAATCTCATGGGGTAGAGAGAGCAAATGACACACATATTTCATAAAAAAAAAAAAAAGAGAGAGGGAGCAATGGCTACAAATGTCCATGATGTACCCACAGTCATACTGTAGATAGTGGAATGTGAATCTGAACCCACATTTGCTGTTACTTCCTCAAGAAAAAGGACTTAAGCCATACTGATTATAGGATGACCCCTTTAGTGTGGATATTTTAATTTAGTTGGGGTATAGTTTGCCTGAGTGAAAAGGCTTAAGAAGAAAGACTAGTAAGAGGTTACTGCAATAATCCAGGAGAGAAACAATGATGATCTGAATGAGGGTAATAGTGCTGGAAGAGTTTTTATAAGTATTTGCCAACTCGACTTAATAGCATTTGCTGCTATGAGGAATGAAGGCAATGAAGGATTGTCATCATAATGTTGGGTCTAAGCAACTGGAAGAATGCAGTTGCCATTTGTTCATATGGAGGAGTAGGTTTTGGGTGTCAAGATTCAAGAGCCTAGGTTTGAGCTATTAAGTTTAGATGTCTATTAGACATCCGATGAAGTAGCTCATCCAATGAGCAGATGGATGGATGGGAGAGCTTCAAGTGTGAATGAGGTATCCAGCTGGAAATAGGCTCTGAAATTCACAAATGCATAGATGTTATTTAAAGCTATGAGACTGGCTGGATGCAGGTTATAAAGATAACACGGCTTCCTAAAATCCAGATGAAGTGTCTCAACAAGGTAGGAATGATCATCTGTGTTAAAGATTGCTGATACACTAAGTAAACTGAAGCCCTAGAAGTGAACATAGTCTTTTCCAACACAGAAGTCCTACATGTGTTTGATAAGAGCTATTTTAATAAAGTGATACGTACCAGAGACTGTGATGATTTCTGGAGAGAAAGAGGAGAAAAGTGAAATGAGTGACTACAGACATTTCTTTAAGAGGTGTTTTGCTGAAAGAAAAATAGAGTAGAAACTGGAGGACAGTAAGGGGTCAAGGGAGACCTCCCCTCCCCCTTTTTTTAACCAAGAAAAGCAACAGCACTATTGTACACTGTTAGATAACCCAGTGGAGAGGGAAAAAAATGGATGCTACAAGAGAAGAGATCATTGTCCAAGCAAAGTATAACAGGAAAAAGGAGATAGGATGCACTATAAAATAAAGAGGTTGGTATCGGATACAAACATGAACTGTTTACCCATGGTGACAGGAGAAGAGACAAAGCATCTAGATCCAGATGTAGATAGGCTGACAAATGTAGTAGAAAGAACATATGGAAATTCTTTTCTAATTGCTTCTATTTCTCCTCAATGGAATAGAAGGCAACAATGCTATCTAAGAGTGAAGATGCCAGGATTAAACTATTTCAATTACGATAGCTTCACAGTTTATTTTTTCAATGTTTTTATCTTTCTCTTAAATTTCTCGTTCTATTTTCTAAGCACAGTTCTTGACCATTTTCATTCATTTTTCTTTCAGATGAGCTGCACTATCAGGTTTTTAGATTCTAGCAACAACAAAAAGAATGCAGAGTGCTGGTTGAAATTCAATGTATGGGTCTGGATATCATTGGCATTTGAACAATATCATGTCTTTCCAGAAAACTGGAAGGCCTGTCTTTTTCCAGTCTTCTTTTACACCCTCTAATAAAGCCTGTTATTAGTGTTGTTCCTTTATTGTCAAGTTTAGTCTTGGGTATTTTATGTTTTTGCTTTCTTTAATGCAAATTACCCTCCTTTTATCCCATATCATTTAAGATTAAAATCTTTATTTCCTTATATAAAAGAAAGCGAATTCAACTTCTGCCTCCTAGTAACTTTTGTGACTTTGAGCAAGTCATTTGATCCCACAAATATGTCTCTGTAGCTGGAAAAGGAATGAACTAAATGACCTCTATAAATAAAAAAAAATGTATATAAACAGAAGGATACTAACATTATTCCTATTTTTTTTAGCCAACTGATTCTCAGAGAATGTAATTTATCCAACATGGTTCTGTGTATAATGAGAAGAAGTGACCCAGTCTGGGGTAAATCACAAATACATTTCCTAGCGGACACTAACTGGTTATCGAGAGCTGAGAAACGAACCATTCCATAACTTACTGGATTAAAACAAGAACCATTTATCTGTTTACAATTGTTCAGACTGGCAATTTAGGCTAAACCTAACTGGAGGAGGTTGTCTTGGCTTCATGCTATGTTGACTTGACTCATTCATGCAGATGCAATTAGTTGGCAAGTCAGCTGGAGGCTGGTTGACCCCACTGGGCCACATGCTGGCAGTTGGCTAGTGCTGTTGATCAGAGTGCCTTGGTTTTCCTCTACCTGGCTTATAAAGCAGGCTATCTTAGGTATTCTGAGCTTCAAGAGAGAAAACTCTCTTGAAGCAGCTCGCAAGCACAAGCTCCTACCTGTGTTTACATCTGCTGATATAAGCGAACCCACATTTGCTGTTACTTCCTCAAGAAAAAGGACTTTTTCTTGAGGAAGTAACAGTAAGTAAGTAACTAAGTAAGTGGTGACCCACTGGCCCAAATCAAGTCACATGATCGGGTCGAAAGTGACTGCAGAAGAGGACTATACAGGGACATGGATGACAGGAGGCAAGATTCACTGGGAATTATTAACGTACTAATTTGCCACAGTTATGAATATGATTCAGCACAGTATCACTTTCTAGAACCAGTATACAGTTTCAGCTGGTCACAGTCTAGGAAGCATGCACAGTAAGTCAAATGAGGTTGTTTGTTTGATTTAAAATACCCCAAAGCTCTCATATCCCTAAGTCTTCCCCTTGTCAATCTGCTACAGATGTCTGACATTTCAGTGTTAGATAGTGAATCATTTGTGTTAACAATCTGTTCCTTATAAGACCACATAGATCTCTATGAAATAGGCTCCACATAAATGTATCAGAAAATTTCCAATGGGACCAGTAGCTCTTAACAGCTACATTTAAAATAAGGATATTGGCTCTTAAGAGAAAGAATGGGAGAGAGTCATATTCTGGATAAGATTGCTGCTCTGAGAAGGTAGATTTGGGCTTAATACCACTTTAGAAGTCTCTGGAAAGTCAACAGGGTACAGGAAGGGAGCCAACTTTCAAGACTTATTTTATGTTTCACCGAATCCCAGAGCTGAAGTGTAAAGGTAGGGAATCCTTCAGCAACCTTACCTTCAATTCACCCAGTTCCTATAAACTCATCTCCTATGCATTTGCCATCATATATACCTTAATAAATTTTCTCTGACCAAAAATCGTATTTTTTACCCATTTTGCCTTTCAAATTATGGCAATTTTTCATGATGAGAATTATATTTTAAAAGAAGAGCAATTTCTTACAGCGGTATTCAGACTTTGGGAGCCCACAGAGTATTTCTATTTTAATTTACTCATTTCTAGAAAAAGAAAAAAAAAGTCATTCTACCCATCCTCATCCAACCCACTCAAAGATGAGGATGAAGTTTTTATTATCCTAAAATTGCCTCTAGCTTCTGGAGAAAGTGATACTATATGACCACACTGCTCTACCTTTATGTCTGCATTTTTATATAAAATCATGACCCAACAAAAGGAACCAAATAGCAACTTCATAAATTAAGGTCAACCTTCTATCATTGAGGCTTGCCAATTATTTTAACTAAGGTGTTACTGCTAATTTGAGCCCCTATTGTCTCCATGCAAATGTTTTAGTCCCTATGATTCTATTTTATTTCTTCATAGTATTGATGCAGATATGGTCAATACTTCCAGAGCCAACATATACTTGTAATCAATATATTAGGTCTTACAATTATCTGTCAATAAAAATCAATTAGAAAACTAAATAAAGTGTTATTCATTTAATTATTTCTATTCTCCTTGGTAGGTAACAGTAAATGGCCTTTCACTATACTCTCTAGAGAAGAGATACAAACATTTGGAACGCTTCACAGATTTGTGTGTCGTCCTTGCGCAGGGGCCATGCTCATCTCTGGATTGTTCCAATTGTAGCATATGTGCTGCCAAAGTGAGAAGACAGAAATATTTGGAAAGCAGCTGAATTTCTGCTATCAATTGATTTCCTCTTCCTTTAATCTTCCTTCCTCTACTTTTTTTAGAATTAGAAAGATCTTTTTTTTTTTTTACCCTTCCCTGTTTAAAAAAAAAAAAATTCTACTGCATTAACTGTATTGGCTACAAGAAGCCAGTGGGAAATTAATTCCTTAATAGTACAACACACAGAAAAGCAGTCACTCTGGTGCCCAAAAGCAATCAGTGGAAGTGGTCAGAACTGAGAGAGTAACTTGCTTGGTCTGATTGATAAGGCAGTCTGGGAAGGCAAACGTCAATTACCAGCATAGTCAAGACAGAAATGATTAAAAATATGTAGACAAGAGAAAGTATCAAGGAAAAGCTTGTTGGACTGAGCTATGTTCAACATGAGAACGTTCTAGGTAAGTGAGAAATAGGAGACAATTGGAGGGCTAGGTGGAAGTGAGGTTTCAGCCCTGAGTAATTTAGTTGTTTTAACTGATGTACCTATAGATGGCTCCAGACCTACAGATGATCATCCCAGCCAGAAGGAAGCTGAAGAGGAAAGAGAAGAGAAGAGAAGAGAAGAGAAGAGAAGAGAAGAGAAGAGAA